CTTCCAAGCTTGTTTCAATTGGGAAGCTCCACCAAACACTGTCCACCATGGGTGACCATTATCACATTTGACACATTCGTGTCACAGTGTTTAGCATCACAGCAACCACGAAGCAATTTAAAATAATAGGGTTTGAATCAGGCCCATCTTCGTCTTTAAATGGACATCCTTGCTTTTTAGCACTTTAGAACAGTCCTTGCCAATAAATTTGTCCAATTCAATGTATTATAATGAAATAAGCAAAGAGCAGGAGTCAGGAAATCAAAAGTACCAAACTCATTCAGCATTTCTTAAACTGAAGGAATTGAACAAATCAAGCCTCGAGTTGCAATAGTTAAGTATGCTGTGGGAAGAATACTAAATGATCCAGGAAGCATTAAAAGATGAAAGGACTATCCAGAGTCACTGTACCAAAAGGAATTCACAAACAGAAGAATTTCATGAAACAGCGTTTGAGCAAGAGCCTCTGGTGATGAAGGAAGAAGTTCAAACTGCTCTGAAAGAACTGGCAAAAAACAAGGCTCCAGGAATTGATGGCATACCAATTGAGATATTTCAACAAACAGATGCTGCCCTGGATGTGCTCACCAAATTGTGCCAAGAAATCTGGAGGACAACCACCTGGCCAACTGACTGGAAGAGATCTATATTTGTTCCAATTCCAAAGAAAGGTGACCCGACAGAACGTGGACATTATCAAGCAATATCATTAATATCACATGAAAACAAGTTCTGCTGAAGAATATTTTTTAAAAAAATGACTGTAACAGCACATCAACAGAGAACTGCCAGATGTACAGGCTGGATTAAGAAGAGGCTGTGGTGCTAGGAACATTGTAGCCAATGTTAGATGCATCTTGGCTGAAAGCAGAGAGTACCAGAGGAATGTCTATCTGTTTCATTGACTATGCAAATGTATTTGACTGTGTGGATCACAACAAACTGTGGCTGACTCTGAGAAGAATGGGAATTGCAGAACACTTGATTGTGCTTATGTGAAATGTATACTTGAACCAAGAGGCAGTCGTCAGAACAGAGCAAGAAAACACTGTATGGTTCAAAATTGGGAAGGATCTACTCCAGGGATGTGTCCTATATCTTTATCTTTTTTTAAAATTTATTTTATTTTATTATTTTTGTGTATGTGTGTACCGTCAAATTGGATCTGACAGGTACAGGAGGAGATTGTCCCTCCTTCCCCGGCAAGAGCGTCTGGTGGATTCGAACCGTGCGCCTCTGGGATTGCAGTACAGCTTCTTGCCACTAGGCCACCAGAGCTCCCCTATATCCTTATCCTATATTCTATACACAGAACAGATCATCGGGGAGGCTGCGCTCTATGAGGAAGAGTGTGGCATCAAGATTGAAGGAAGATTCATCAACCTGCATTATGCAGATGACACAACCCTGCTTGCTGAAACTAAGGAGGACCTGAAGTGCTTGCTGCAGAAGGTCAAGGACTGCAGCCTTCAATATGAATTGAAGCCCAACATCAAGAAAACAAAGATTCTCACCCTGGGCTGATTGGCAGCATTATGATGATGATGGTGAAGAGACTGAGATTGTTGACAGCTTCAGTTTACTTGGTTCCACAATCAGCACTCTTGGTACCAGCAGCTTGGCAATCAAAAGATGATTGCCTTGGGAAAGTCTGCTATCAAAGACCTCTCCAATGTATTGAAGAGCAATGATGTAAATCTGGAGACTAAGGTGCGCCTGATCCAGGCCATATTTTTTTTTACTTACTTGCTATGCGTCAGAAGCTTGACAGTGGCTAAGGATGATTGATAGAGAATCAATGCCTTTGAGCTGTGGAGCTGGAGAGGAGTATTGAATATACCATAGACTGTCCGGAAAACAAACAGTTTCATCCTAGAGAGGGTGACAAACAGGTTCGTCCTAGAGAGGGTGTAACCAGGCTGCTTCTTGGAGGTAAGTATTCTGAACCTTCGTCTGACATACTTTGGGCACACTGCAATGAGGGACCTGTTTTTGGAGAGGGTCATCATGCTTGGAATGGTTGAGGGACATTGCAAGAGAGGAAGACCCTCGATGAGATGGATTGATTCAGTGACTGGTGAAATGAGGGTAGGTGTGTGAGAGGCAATACGGTTGGCACAGGATAGAGCAGGGTTCAAGGATGTTGCACATAGGGTCGCTATGAGTCACAGCAGACTCAACAGCACATAACAACAACAACAATGTATTATCTGATTTCTTGACAACTGCTCCCATGCTTATTTCCTGTGAAACCAAGTAAAAAGAAATCAGAAACACCTTCCATCTTTCTTCATCTCTCAGGATGTTGCCTATTCCTCCAGTTGTGAGGACTTTGTTTTTTTGGTGTTTAGGTATAATTCATATTGAAGACTGCAGTCTGTGTTTACGTATAATTCATATT